GTTTACAGGAGCAGGAATAGTACCGTCTGGACCGACCGCATGAGTAGTAGCGGAATGGGCTAATGATCATGACTGTTGTTCCTACTTCGTTATAGTACCTTTCCTACGCATCACATCAGAAGGAGGTGGGAATCAATGATAAGGTGTCTCCGCCCCTTTTCACTATCACGCCTAGTAAAAGTTTCGCCAAAATGCGTTTATACTTTGCGGCAGCTTCCACCACCGTTCTGGGCGTTCGCAGTGCAAGCGAGTATAGGTGTCAGTCTAGCATTTGCCAGCGTCTACCAGCGACCAGCAGCGTCCAGTGGTGGCGAGCAAGGGGCGATTGGAGGGTAGCAGACAGCTGGTGGAGTATGGGCAGATAACAGGGTTAGCAGACAGCTGGTACACAGCTGTTGCCCCATGCTCTCCTGGACGCTGGTGGCCGCTGGTACACGTTGGCAGGCGCTGGTAGACGATAAACCGAGTTTACTAGACTCTGACGCTGCCGGACGCTCGGAACGCTACTCGACGCTATTTGTCGCTGGTGGACGCTGTCGCGAAGTGAACGCAGATTCAGCGATAGGTCACAGCTGATATCGTCACAGTCATTTCGCACCAAGTTAGGAGTCTGAGATGAGCCCACTCGCTCATGATTTCACTAAAGGTTATTTTGTCCCTAGATCAATCCCTAACGATCACTACTGGTGGGGAAAGCGAGCTCATTCTGCTACTCCTAACACCGCCCCGACTAACTGTGATAATACCAAGTTTATATAGCATTACGAAGTCTGGAAGGTACGACATCACTCAGCGCTGGCAAGCATCAATCTTCTTTACGTTACATTGGCGCGCGTCACTAAAGCAGCTTTTTCGGAACATCTACAGATCTGCTCGAATTTCTAAGTTTGGGTTAGGAGGATTTGATGACGGCAAATGCAGCTCAGAAACAGGAACAACTAGTGAAGCTTCGGGGTAAAGAGGATAAATGTTACATGCTTCGTGGGTAATAAATATCTCTATAAGTGGCGCCATCGTCACGGCACAGAAATATGGAATACGGGAGAGCGTGAGGGCCACGTTCGAGTCTTGGCCGAGTGAGCGTTTCACAAGGGGGGGGGGGTGGTCCCTACCAGTGGTGTTTTCTTACCGAACTACACAATATTTCAGTGTTCTTAGGAAGTACAGCCGGGAGTAGTTCATGGTTCATCCGACCCCTCCTGACACCGCCCCGACTGGTTGCCGATATCAACTGTATGATATACCACGAAACACACTGAAATTTTGCTCTTCAATCTGGTGCCCTTTATTCGGTAAACCTCACGAAAACGCGAAAGAGCAGAACCTCCACTACTAATTCTGGAAACAGTTTTGAAAGGATTTATGAACAGGGTTACTGGGAGTGAACAGAACAGAACCCCCTGTCTCGCCTTACTCACATGACAGCTATCACCGTAGTAAGCTGTTGGGTAACATTGTCCGTCGTGGTAAACGTCCTCCAAAGAGATGCACGGCGTTGTTGGACAGCATATCTGAAGAGGATCACCTCAGGATTAAAGGTTCAGACTTCTCCTACTGGCAAAACGTACAGATTTGTCTGTAAAAACTGCCATCGGTGACAGTAGTACTCCATTGGACACCGTTCGCATCCATACTCTGCGCGGAGTACTAGTTTCCATGAGCTCACACCCAGGGCAAACCGGACGAGTTTCACCAGGTGAAGGGACAGCAGAATCCCTGGACGATTTTACCATTGAGGATTCAGCCGATATTTCTTACAGGAGTTATTACACTGCAAGGTATACCTGGTAGAACCCAGGTTCGTAGCGTCATTCAAAAGTGGAACACAATTAGTAGTCGTCGGCCGACAGTCGTCTTGATTATTGTTTTCCGTCAGTACGCGGATGAATTAGGACCTAACATGAAACACATACACTTAGTTTTTTTTGCTTCAAAATTGTTTGTAAAAATATCGTTCAAAGAACCATTCCTATCTTACTAACTTGTTATTGTGCGTTTTCTTCGCCTTTGATTTTATGTTCTTGTGACGCCCTAAACAACGAAACTCGCGACGCTTCGCCCTTCATTGAACACTTCACAATATCCTCGGCGATCATCAACGGGATGCCCCATTATTTGTACGCCATTATAAACCTAAGAGATTCCTGCTAAACGTGCTGATTGGTCGCACCAACACCATCGCCTACTCGTCGCTGGAAATCGAACATGACTGAACGAGTCGAGCCTGCCGATAGCCGCGAGTGTGTTAAGGACCCATTTGGTAACAGCGACCCCTTCACACTCCTTTATGGCCCAACACCTGTCGAACGTCTGGCAGTAAACATATTGCTTATTATTAGTTAACCATGGTTATTTCCTTGTTTATTTTCCCCGATTTGTCTGTTTATTCAGAAAAACGCAGTAAATCTTTAGTTCTGCCTAGACATACGTGGATGGGTTTTTACGTCCAGTCTAACACTTACATAGGAGCGGAGCTCCTATAGTGAGCGGAGCTATCGGCCTCCCCTGGTGTCCTGAAAAACTTTTGCTAAAGAATGGAAATAGCACGCACGCTTCGCTGAGCATTAAATGGTCTACAGAGCCTCACTAAGTTTCGGACATGGTTAAATCGACAGGAACTAATTAAGAGAAACTACTGAGTAAGGTAATGTCCCTTCAAGGACCCGTACAGGGCAGAAAGTCTTTTCACTCCAGCTACCTTAAAGACGTCCTGATGGCGCGATCATTTTTGAATCCAGTCACAGTATTGCTTGCCACACAGCCTAAACGACGAAAGCAAGCCTTGCTTAGAAGTTACTCACTTATAGGCTTACATCCGCCTTATATCTCATCCTCTGAAAACCTTTCTTGCAGCGACATCCACCTGTAGAGCATTCGCGAAAACGCTGACGAGCACTCCATATCTGTTTTGCAACCTTTCCTGAAAAGTAAGCTCATTGGTCATCAGCCACATTTTGATGCTATTGTATTTGCGGGCACTTGTGCCGCATCGAGGCGCCATATTACGATTACAGTTTCATGAGGTCCAGTGCGAACGTCACACACAAAATAAGCTGGCATTTTTTTGCCCTTAATAGTGGGCAGTTCTGGCACTCTTAGTAGTGCCGCTGAGAATGCCACGCTCTAGGTGAGAATGGTGCAGCATGTAAGGTCCACGACTTTAGCAACGAACAGCGCTCGGTCGTGCTTTCGACACAACCATCAGATGCAATGTAACAACACCTCAACACGCGCATCGATGACGCGTTGCGAACGCCCCACCCTGAAAAGAAGCAAGCCAGCCCGTCGCGAAGTGTAGGCAGCGTTCATACCTCGGCGATCGCAGCTGCTGTGGCGAAAGTGCTACCTAAAACGCTGCCTAAGGTTGCTTGCGACGATGCTATCTCGCGCTCGCCAACATAGCCGTGAATGTCTCAAAATCTATCTCATGCTTCGCTTAGCTGTTAGCCTAAACTATCCAGAAAATACTCATTGAATAATACTTTATATTCATCAAATTACGAGTATACATATGTTTTGTATGTATGCTACAATATTTCACTTACATATGAATCAAGGGGCACAACTTATAGCTATAGTTCCAATTTACCACCAGACAAATGCAGCAGGTTGCGGGGCGACACGCAATGGTTGGCCCTGTCACTGTCAATGGCCTACCATTCACCGCCGCAATACAAGTCTTTTTTCAAGCTCAAGCTTTGACATTGGCATGGACTTAACTACATTAGACAGAACTTGGCGTCTCTGTATCAAGTCCAGGCACTGACCTCGGCGAGCGAGCTGTTAATTTTCCAGCTGCGCATCGCAATGGAGTCGACGCGCAGCGCTGTCGCCTTCTTTGAAGGAGTTTAATCCTGGTGCGGCATGCTGCGTAACCTCGATCATGCGCGGCAGTTGATATAGGGCGCGTCGTCAACGGCCCGCAGCGCGGTGCCAGGAACTATTGCTTTTTCCAGCTTATTTAGTCATTTTTTCCAACTTTTTCACTTGTTTTTCGGCTTACTTTTTCCAAGCATTAGCAAGCCTCTTATCTTCACAAGGTGGAAAAAATGACTTAAATTAGGCCTGCGAAAAGCAAATAGTTCGAGCACGCCGCTGCGGCCCCGTGACGACCGCCTAATCAACTGCCCCGCGATGACGAGGGTATGTCAACCTCGCTTTGTAAACGCCTACCACGCGTACTGCGAAGTGACGCTCAATTAGTCCAGTGTATTCACGTGTCACTTCTTTTCGTTAAGCTGGGCCTACTCGGTTTAACTGCATACATCGCCGTTTCCCCTGTTGTGCTGCAAGACACCCGTAGACAAATTCTGCAGGGGAATGTTATATTCTTACAAGCTCAGTCGATGACGCTGCTGCTCTTCATAAGGTTCATGACAATCTGAGCGACAGTATCTTCCCAGCTCAGGATCATTCAAGCGCAGACGCTCCAGCGCTGCGCGGCGGCCTTCGTTTGCAGGAGTGCCGAGCGCGCCATGCGGGCTGACTGCGTCAGCGTCCCTCAATCAACTGCCGCAGACAAGAAGGATTTCGCAATGCCAAGAAGTCCCTGCTACCGCACTCAGCCGCCTTGGTTTCATTTCCCCCCCCCCCACCCCTCCCCGCCTTCCTCCCGCGAAAAGCATCGAGACCCTATTTTCAAGGAAACAAAAACAATATTGGCTTCCGGAACAGGAATATGGGCTCTTTCAAGGTGAGGGACTTCCCGTGCCCTTCGTTGCATGATCCCAGTTTTATCATTTGTGAAAAGCGTGATTCTGTCTACTAAGCTCACAATGTACAAAATTATAAGTTGCTATTAAAGCACTTACGGGATAGTGCCAGAGAGAAACACCACAGGCACAGGTATTCGATGCGATTCGAAGGACTAAGTTCGAGTTGTCTGTGCTCACTCAGGTGGAACAACCTTATATTTCCGGGTTACCTTACCGTCCCAGGCCATATGGCCAGCGGGCTGTACGTTCACCCTGTAATTCTCATTTCGCTTAGCATGCCCACTTCGCGCGGTGCCTCAAGCTGAGGTGATGGAAGGGCTTCTACAACGACCTGTGTTGAAGGTAACGGTTCGCCCAGACTGTGAAATCTGTCTGATCTGCAACAGCACCTGGTCATTTCCAGAGGTATTCAGAAAGCCAAGCTCACAGCATAAGAAAACCATTGCTCTAGAGATGGAGAAAATATCACACTTTTGAAATATTCCGAAAACTGAGCTTTTGTGTAAATTAATCCATCGCTTTGGTGAATGTTTTAGCGGACGGAAACAAGTTTCAAACTAACCTTCAGTCGTCTACTCACTACTTTGGCATGTTTTTCCATCACTGATACCGTGTAACCAAGCTCAATCGGACACTGCACAGCGACATCTACCACCGTCATCGCAGATCAAACAGCCCGCACCACATCACATTCCGTCGCGCACAAACGCATAATCTGGCCGCGAAGCGACGAGGCCTCATGGAACAGGGCAACGCTGTCCCAGATACCGCTGGCGCGGGTAGTATTCAATTTGGTTCTCTGGAAAATAACGATAGTACAAATGCCTTCTTAAGAAAGCAGAAGACGATCTGAATCTGTACTCACTAGGAGGTGGCGGTGTTATGACATTACTTTTCGGCCGAATGGCAGCAGTAGCCAGTCTTTGTGTTTCACATTAGCCTTCATCAGGCACGGTATAATTTGGTTCGAATTTGACTGAACACACGAAGCATTTGCTTTCACAACATGACACTCTGATTGGACTTGCGTTCATACTTGGCGGCAGCGTCCATCGGTGATGGCCAGCTTTCCAGGACTTCCGGACAGCATCAATTGCCTAGGAAGCTATAGATTTCGATCGAAGCGACAGGCCCAGGGTCTCCCACATCCACCCGACGCAACAGGCGTTCGAGAGTGAGAAGTATGAGGCAATCGAGGGCAGCGAGAGCTGGTAAAGTATTAGAGGTAGAAGATACTACTCCTCACACGCTGCTAGTCGTTTGTGGACGCAGGTTGACCGGCTGTCGCTATATCAATACCTATACTTCCCTAGCCCTTGAAAACACTACTGTTCGCCTGGTGTCGCTGCGCAAGATAACGCAACTTAGTCACAGGGCCGTTTTACGCTGACACAAAGAAGCTGCTTTCTAGTTATGGCGTTCAGCAATGGTTTTGGCGCCGGCGTCGACATGTTCGAATTTCTCAAAGTTTCGCGAGAAGATATACATTTCATTATATTGGCAAAAAATTAATGCTTTGAAGACAGGGGGCTTGTTAAGTAAATTCGCAAGTTCTGCAGAATATGAACGAACAGGGTGGTATAGAAAACCTATTAGACTGTACATTCAGCTTCAGCTATACAGTAACGCGTGTCGCTGACTTTCTGAAAACCACTGCACATCCATATCCGATATGGGAGAGCGTGACTAACTATTGATTGAACGCGGCGGCGGCTCCGCTTTAAAAGATAAGCTTCGTTTCGAGTGAAATTGTGACATAAGATATTTCCCAAGCCACTTGGAGCTGAACACAGTTGTCCTCGAATAGAAAGATTTCCACATAAAACGCGTCGCTGCGCCACGCCTGCAATCGAGATGAAACACGCTACCCTCCCTCCATCTCCTGCGATATCGACCGGTGTTGTACTCTTACTAAAATTGAGCCGTATATTACGAAGAGATTCAAAGTTTTTCAGATGAACTTTGTTACAGCTTTCAATGACCTTTCTTTCAGTGACTTTCCGAGAGAAGGCTAGAGG